ACCACTCGCTAAGCTGTGTCGTTTTCATCCGGCACGTCGCACAGTATCGACGTCACAACGTTAGGGATCTCTGATTGGTTGTTGGTTGGCGTTAGGAACGTGATGTGGGCGTGTCGTTTTAGGTTTATTTTTTTATTTCCTTTTTCTTTATTTTCTTCTATTATTCTTATTTTCTCATTATTATTATTATTGTGACGCTTTTTTATTTTGACTCCTTCTTTGTGACTTTGCCCAACAACAACCAAAAAAGGTCATATGTATGGAATCCTTATGTAATTCTTTGTGCAGGCCAGGTTGAATATCTTGTAAGGTCTGGTCCTATAATTTACTAAAATATAAATTGTATAAATCATCTCCTGCATTTAAAGTGATTAAATATGTATTTCCTAGAAACATGTTTTTTTTCTGGGACACCCAATTTGTTATATTTTATTTTCATGTTTAATTTTCTCCTCATTCAGCATGGATTGGTGTGGTGGATGGTCATGTTGTTCTGATTGATTTTTTTATTCCATTACATTGTGGTGCATGTTTTATTTCTGGACATAGTTCATCAGGCAAAAAAGAAAACAAAAAATGACTCTGGCTTTTCATCGCCAAACTCTAACCTCTGACATTCCTCTTTACCGTTTCTGCACATGTCAATAGTTAGGTGTAGGTATATTTTAAGTCCCTGAAGAAACAACGATTGGGCAAAACACAACATCCCTAAGCTCTAATATATGCACAGACGGAGGTCTGTGCCGTCAAGCAGCTTATTCTGCTTCCAGCTCAACGGAACATCATCACCTGTTGTCTGGGCCTTAAAGGTTACAGCCAAATGAAAAAGATCTACCATGACTGCTATACACAGTATCACTGTAAGGGTTCTGGCTCTGCTGTATTGTGGGCATTGTGGTGAATATCAACTATCGGCAGATTTAAAGCATTTACCTCACATTTATAAATAAAAGTCTGCAGCTTTTAAGTCAAATTCTGTTCTAAAACATCCAATCAAGTTTAGACACAATAGCAATCTATCATCCACTAACTGAAAATACTGGATTAATTAGTAACAGTAAAACACTGCTCTGTTCTCTTTTGTAAGAGACAGGTAAGAGATTATTTTCATTCAATAACTGGTCCTGCTTTGTTCTTATTTCTGAATTATGTGATGGTTTCCAATTACTCTGTATTCTTATTTCTGTTCTTCACCCTTCACGGATTCGGTTTTGTTGTGGAATGTTCACACTTACATCAAATGTCTAATTGGATTGTACTTAACATGCTTTTGTTTTAAATTAGCTTGAATATCGAATGTGAAAAATATGTGTTGGTTCCTCTTCTCTCTCTGTTTCCCCCTCCCTCTCTCTCTCTCTCTCTCTCTCTCCTTTTCCCTTTGTCTTACAAAATAAAAGCAATATACTCCCAACTCGTGCCACGAAGCACATGGCAGAGTCAAGAGAATAGAAAGAGAGATGAAAGGTGTGAGGGAGTCATTCATGGGGTTTTTGCATGATGCTCATGAGAGGGTGTAGAGTATAGATCCCACCCTCAAGCTCTGTGTCTCTGTCATGAAATGTCACACATCTGCACTTTTAAATGAACTTCTTCTATCCACACACTCTCCTGCTCTGTCGTCATCAGAGCGATCATACACTTGAGGAGGTGATGTGTTTCATTTTACAAACTGTGAAATCAAAATGTGTGCAGCGTGTCCACATTGATGGTGCCATCAGCCATTTTGTAATTGAGGAAATGCAGCTGTCCACAAAGACAACCTCACAGATACAGTAAAAGATTAAAAAAATTCCAGTGGTGGTAGAACTATTCAGATCCTTTAAAGTAAAAGTACCAATACCACACTGTGAAAATATTCAACTAGGGTGGAGTCAGCTAAAATGGGCCAGATAACCAATCTTGCATTGTTTCTACAACACTAATTGACATGTAACAATAGTTTTGAATGGTCTGAGGTTGCTAAGGTGGGAGGGGCAGAGTGTTACATGAAGTATGTTAGAATCCTATGTTAACTGAGCATGGAGAAGCAAATTTCACTCATCATTATTAAGGGTGATGAAGCAATTACAAGTCATCTTACCAACAAAGCAAATCGTTTATGAACAATGTTTTAACAGGCTTTGTTGCAATTTGTGTGCAAATGTCGAAATTTTTGACACACACACACACACACTGTTACACAGAGTCTACACAGTTGATGTTCTAATTTTTCATCAAATGTTTCGACAAATGTTTGAAACATGCATGCACCTACACCGATAGCTACAGTCCCACAAACACACGCAAAACAGACACAGTGACATCCATCAACATCCCTGTACCATCAGTACAGATCAGAAACATACTCATTCTGCAGAGAAATGGTTCCTGTCAGTGTTATTATATATTGGTTTTTTTAGCATTAAAATGACTGCTGCATTAATGTGTATGTTACATTTTACTGCTGTGGATGTTTAAGGTTGTGCTCATTTTAACTACTTTATACTGACAGCTACAGCAGTGGATAATATTCTATTATCATATGCTATTCTGGTGCTCAGAAAAGCAATTTTCAGCTTTGTGATGATGAATTTTCCAGCTCATCCATAAGGGTTATAAATAGTTTATTTATCTCAAGAAGTAGGAGACTTTTCTCTAAATGACTCCTTCAGTTTATCAGAAAAAAAACAAATATAAATTCACCAAAGTTGAAAAGTAACTAGTGACTGTAAAACGTACAATATTTGACTCTAAAATATAGTGGAGTAGATTAAAGTTGCATGAAATAGAAATACAAGTCTTTGTATTCTCAAGTATGGTACTTGAGTAAATGAATTTCATAGCATTCCACCACTTGGAAATGTATTCATCTGGATGAAATGAATTATTGTCATGTTGTGTTGAAAGGCTTGCTTTCTCACATTAAATCCATCTCTGGCTCTGTTTTTAAAACTGTTCTATATTCAGCTTTGACAGAAATGTATTCAGTCTTATCTTCAAGCAGGGCTCAGTTTGAAAAATAAGAAGAAATGAAATGTGATCAGCTAAACATTGTTTGAATTAGGAGTGCCTCACAGGATTTCGCCTCTGCTGCCATTCATTTTATCTGTGTCATTATTTTGAAATATGTGAGCACTACCAATAACTCAGCAGGCAGCTCTGAAGGGAACAGGTGAGGGATTGAAAATGAACAGGAGTCAGAGAGCAAGCAATGCAGGAGAATAGTGAGGAAAGGTATAAAAAAAACATGTTGAGAATGAAGCTGAGATGTGTGAGGAGAGGGAGTAATGTGAGAAAGCATTTTGAGGAGTCGAGGGGTTGTGCAAACAATAGGATATGAGGGGAGAAAGGACTGTTTCGTATGTTCTGAGTCCCCTCCCCCTATTCCTCTCAGTACTGTTGCGGATGTACTATTCTTCTGCATGCCTTGTTTTTATTCCCTTAGGGCTACCTGTGATGCATACAAATGATCCCTGACCTTAATGAATCATTTAACCAAGATGAAAACCCTCAGATGAAAAGCATCATGTATTAACATGACTGTGTTTACTCCTCTATTGGCTTACGGTCTCAATAATACCTGCTGTACTCAATGATGTTGCATACGTTGAACTACAAGTCTCAAGCAGTGCCACTGATACTACATTTTGATGCAGGAAGGCTTACCTGCACCGTATTGCTTCAGCATAATCAGAGGTTGTGAGTGGGAGGTAAAAGTCCTTGGATCAGAGAGAGAAGATAAAACATGAGGAATAGCTGCTGGCCAAGGCCTTTGATAATTACAGTTTTTATATTATTTTACTTTTTGTTTTGCTGCCATATGCCATTTTCTCCTGCTTTCCTACTATTTGCTTTCCAGTCTCTCTGCCTCTACTCTCCTCCCACAAAGACTACATCTGTAAATGTCTGCACATACACACAGATAAAATACAATAAACAATTTGTGAAACCTTTCTAAAACACAAGAATATGTAACGTCTTTACTTCTGATTTTATGTCAGCTCAAACACTGTTAAGACCACAATAACAATATTGTACAGCTTTTGTGGATTAGTCACATTACTGTCATCCTAGGGGCACAACAACCAATGATAGTGGCTAAATATCTAGGGCAGTCTCTTTAAGTAGTTAATTATTGTGCTTAATTTGCTTTTATTCTGTAATAGAGAATCCCCTTTGAGTAGTTTGCGTGTTACCGAATCAGTCCAGATGGCTGACGTCAATGAGTAAACGTGCAAACACTTGTACAGCTAATGTGCAATTCCCAATTTCTCACAAAGAAAGCAAATAGCAGTTTATTGATCACAATAGTTTATGAGAGCGCTTGACCAGAGGCTGAACGCTAGTTTAAAAGTGAGAACAAGCAGATGATCAAATTACTTCCACTCTGTTAGGCTGCAAAGACGGAGCTGTGCTCAGCTGAAAATCTTTGGCACTATTAACAGCTGAAATGGTTGACAGTGAATACAAGTTTACATTCATTATGATTCATGTCTGTACAATGTTTTTTTTTTTTACAGTTTGCCCAGGAGCAGTAGAAATAGAAATGCATTGCAATCCTGTTGGAAGCAATTTTCTGGTATGAATCTTTAATGACAACATTCTTTAGGGAGAAGGAACATGTCGCAGCTGATGAAGTGGGCTTGCTAAAGGACAATTCAAAAGCCTGCAAATGAAGTCCACTAAGTGCCGACGAAGTGCTGTGTTGGAAATCAAGCTGACATATAAAAGACACCATCATAAAACAAACTTAAAATAAATATATATTCTAAAGGTACTCTGAAATACCTATTATACTATGTTACTGATATTGTATACACATGTACATGTAAATGTGCATATAAGGAATGGATGTACTGATGTTATCTGTGAAAGAGAATATGTTCAAAGACCATGTGACCGTTAACCCATAAACTGAGGTTGAGTCCGCAGTGGCCTGGGTTCGATTCCAACCTGCGGACCCTTTGCTGCATGTCACCCCCACCCCCCTCTCCCCTCTTTCCTGTCTATTTTCACCTGTCCTATCAAAATACAGGCAAAAAAGCCTTAAAAAACCAGTGCTAAAATACATAATACTATCTATGTAAATTTTATTCCAGTCCTGAATTTATGCATGTATTCGATAAAAAGTGAGAGGGCCCGGTGGCTCATTGATTGGATGGGCAGCGAACTGAGCAGGCAGAGAGATGCTCCCCCAAAGTATCTCTGGAATGTACATTCATATGCTGCCTATACTGTAGTAAAATATGCACACTGTCACTCATTTAAATTGCACTGAATGTGCGCGGGGCAGAAAACTGCTCTGCATAAGTATCCCCTCAACCTCCTCTTCAATGATCACTTGCACTCTCCCTCAAATACCTGCTTCTCCTTTCCTTTTTCTCTCCATCTGTTTTCAGCGTGGATATTGGTCCTGGCTCAAATTTAATAGTAGCAACGTTAATTGTGTGTTAATACGTGATGGGATGTAGCAGCTGGACGTGAATGAAAATACACCGTAATTTTTATAAATAAATATATGTAAAAACACATTGTATAAGGGAAACATATGAATACGTTTGGTAGCGGACATCACAAACATATACCCTCATCTTTATGGGCAAGGCTTCTCACACACAAAAATGCACAACAACACACACCGAGATGAGTCAGACACATGGGTCAGGTGACCCCCTCCCTTCACAGCTGAGTCACCAGTGACGTAGTCTACTGGAGCAGCTTCATATCAGACATGTGACTAGACCTTGGCCCCTCCTTTTCCACGTCGAAGTGAATATCTCTCTTCCTGTATCTATTTTATGATGACAGGCTGCCATATGGTGAAAGTCTTGCAAGGAATACAGATGTTCTGCTAGAATACTGTTTCTCTCTCCTTCCCTCCCCTTCTTTTGGCTCTCTCTATCTCTCCCAATGTACTCCTATCCCTCTTCCTTTACAGACTAATCTATCTGTATGAACGCTACAGACGTGATGCATGTGCTCTCATGATGCTATATGAAGAGGAAGTACAAGAGTAGGCAAACAGACTATTATAACAGTCTAAATCTCTATTTGGGACAACTGTCAGTTCTATTAGAGTGATAATCAGAAAGAAGTAAATGTGGAATGATTAGAAAATATTCTTCCATATTGCGCTGCCAGAAGTGCTCTCTCAACCTTCTCCTCTGAGACACCTTCTTGTGATCCTGTATGTATGTCACTCATCCGTCTCCCCAGCTTGCTTTCTGTAGGCCTCATTGAGCAGCTGTATCTCCTCACGATACCCCGTACTCTCTTGCGTCTGCCGCCGGCTGTTCTGCCGGTGAGCTTCCACAGTGTCAGGTATAGTGATATTGATGGTCTCTGCATCGGGGTTGCCTCCGCTGGGGATGAGCAGAGAGTAGGAAGCCGTCTCTCCCAGGTCGCAGGAGACAAAGCGGTTCTCCCTTCGCGAGTAACGCAGCGATGGCGAGCGGGCGTGGGTGGAGGACTGGCTGATGTTGGAGATGATGGAGACGCTGTCCATGGCCTCCTCGTTGTCACAGATCTCCAGAACCTCAAGGTGGATCTTGACGTTGGTGTCTCCCACGCCGGCTCCTATACCCATGCCCATTCCAATCTCCATGCCCATTCCTACGCTGCTGACATTCACGTCTCCAGCCTGGTCTCCTGACGCTGGGTCGTCTGCACTGGGCTCATGGCCAACTGATTTGGAGCGATACACTTCCACCTTTGAAACAGAGGGAGATTTATAAGTTATTTATAAACATGTTCTCCTACTTCCAGCCATTTCAAGCCAAGATAGAGTAACTGTCTCCTGGCTAAGACTTTTTACCTTCTTGGCATTGTTGGGGGAGATTTTGAGTCCGTCACTGCTGACCTCATAGGTGGAGAGAGAGAGGGTCTTCCCTGTGGGTGCCTGCAGGGATACGGTGCCCTGAAAGGCGCACAGGGGGATTGACAGACCACCTGATGACCGCTGCAAAACAGCAAAAAATAAAACAAAATCAGTCAACATCTAGGACAACATCTTCATTTATGTATCAACTTGGCAGGTCTTATTGCTTGAGAATACTATTATACATATTAGTTATTTCCATCGTGGCTGCTCATCATGTTATTGGCATGATACAAAGCCTACAGGATCTATTTGCATCTCACTCCCTTTGTTCAAACTAATTGAGCTTAGATTGTGTCCATGATGTCAAGGGCAGGGAGATGAATGTGTTGACCAACCATTTCTAACCCAAGTTAATGAGGCTTACATGTAAGAGCCCTGTCAACAGCACTCTGCTGATGAAATGAGATGTTGGGGCTTCGTGCGTATAAAATCAACAGGGGACCTTTCAGGTTCACAGTAAAAAAGATGGAAGCATGATCTATAAGATATTTCGCTGTTATCAGAATGTTTTATTAACTAATTTAATCTGAATAATATAATCTCAGCATCAATTAAATTTCTTCTGGGTTTCATATCAGTTTGCCATCTTTTTTCAATTACTGGGCTCATTTATATCACTCACATTTTAAATCATATTTCATGTTTTTCCAGTCATATTTTCATATTGTTATCATTGAGATTAATTTACCACACAGTACATCAAAGTAAGCCTCTGTCAACATGATAAGTTTGAGAAAATGCATATTGCTGGCAAGGGAAAGGAGAAGCATCCTGCCGTGCGACAGTGGGGAGACTGTGGCAGGTCTCATTAAGCCTTCTAAATTATTTAGATTAGTTCAATGTAATGATCTGATTGTGAATATGACGCACAATAGAAACAAAGAGGATGTCAATCTCTTGTCCTCCCTGACTCTGTCTGTTTTCCTGTCATTGTCTTTGCATCATTGTGAGAGAGAGAGACTGAGATGTTGAGCTGAAAACACATTGTCAAGTAATTCAAATAAGGCTCAGAAGCCATCAATGTGGGAAGTACACTGATGGATGAGTGTGTGTATCTTCTATGACTTGCTTGTCTTTATTACATTATTATTATTACATTAAAACAATGGAAAAAATGGCTGAATTGTGAAATCTAGATTTAAACTATGTAGTTTT